CCTAAGTTGTCTTCTCCATGGGAAGGCCCATATGACATAGTGGATCATCTCTCAGACATGACTATCCGGATAAAATGTGGTCGGCGAGGTAAGCCAAAGGTGGTGCATGACAACAGGCTTTGGCGTTATCACGGTCCAGGACATTTCAGTTGGGATGAAGTGAACAATGGAACAAATGACGCTGCTGAAGACGTGTCACCTTAAAAAACCACTGTCAAAGAAAAATTCTACTCGGTTTTGAGAAGGGAAACAGTGAAGCCCTTGATGAAGTTACTACCACTGATGTGACTGTTACTGACGATAGTACATTTCCTGATGGAGCAGATGAACCCCACGTGAAGCAGAAGCCAACGAGACGGAGACCAGTATGGAAGAAGATACGTCCCATAAAATTAAGAGACTTTGTTGAATTGTAATTTTGTGTTTGTAGTTCTGTACATTTAATTAAGTTATTGTTGATTGTTTATTGGTTTAATGTAAGTGGCTATTGTTTGGGATGAACAATACTAAGGAGGGGCAGTGTTGCGACAGTGGAGGTCACGTCCTTTCCTTAATTGTCGACATTCGTTGTGAATTATAGCGTTTGTTATAGAGCGACTGTTGAAATTAAGTGTCTCGCAAAGTTGTATTCAAAAAGAATAAACCAGTTTTATTTAAGAATGGACTTGTATTGATAAAGTTTCTTCGGAAAGAATTTTTACGGAAAATTAACTAACGAACGGAGACGTAACAATACACATCCTGCAATTAGAAATGTTCTTATTTTATTAATGCCCCCAGTGGCACAGAAATATATCTGTGGATTTACAACACTGGAATATAGGTTTTGATACCCATGGTGGGCAGAGCAAAGATAGTCATTTTGTAGCTTTGTGCTTAACTACAAACAAACAATACAAATTATTAATACATAATGCAATAAATTAACAAAAATTCTTGATATCCCTCTTTCTATTAAGCATCAACTTTAATTAATGATCTCCTAATGATAATTAAATTGAGTGTGTAATTGGTACATGAACACAACTGGTTAGTATATTCTTGAAAAACTCCTTTATCATTTCTAGTATTGAATTAATTGATATTTAAAAAACTTTATGCATAAAGTTTAGTGTAACAAGAAATCTTTGAACCAAAGTAGTCTAAAACATTAATTTTTATCTTTACCTCATTCAGCTTTTTCAGTGAGGAATGTGGCTTTTTATACAAGCATTTAATGTTATAATGTACTGTTATAAGTGAGGTCATTGTTTACAAAAAGCAATTGTGAGGTACAAATAAAAATGGTAACTCCTAGCCCACCCTCACATATGGTTGGACAACTTTTTAAGAAGTAATACAATAGTTATACCATTCAAAAACTATTTGTGATATGATGAAGGTAATACCTCCTGCACTAATCACTAAATGGTATCAGAGAATTACTGAAGTATTTTGACTTTTGGACCATTAGCAGTTAAATGGGTTGGTATAGTTGTCTTCACCCCAGACAACAAAAGTTATGAAAGGGGCTGTCTATACATAGTTTTGATCCTCAGGAAGAATGATTGCATTCTTGATTTTCTATGTGGTGCTGAAATCAGTAAAACACTTGGACTAGTCATAGACAAGTTGTCACCAACAGAAGGTAGGAAGTAACAACACCATCAAGAACCCAGGTAGTATACCTAGAAGGTTTTAGTCAGGTTTATGTGCGAAGTTACTCTAAGAGTTGCAATCATGGAGTTGTTTTACCATAAAAAGCAAGCCAAACACTTAA